GACTCATCGCACCAAGTGACCAAGGGAGAGTCGGGAAGGATGGGGTCCACGGTCAGAGTGAAACCTTAGAAATGTTGACTCCTGGCCGGGCGCAGTGGCTCACGCCTGTAATCCCTGCACTTTGGGAGGCCAAGGTGGGTGGATCATGAGGTCAGGAGATCAAGACCATCCTGGCTAACATGGTGAAACCCCATCTCTACTAAAAATACCAAAAAAAAAAAAAAAAAATTAGCTGGGTGTGGTGGCAGGTGCTTGTAGTCCCAGCTACTTGGGAGGCTGAGGCAGGAGAATGGTGTGGACCTGGGAGGTGGAGCTTGCAGTGAGCCGAGATCGCGCCACTGTACCCCATGCTGGGTGACAGAGCAAGACTGTCAGGAAAGGAAAGGAAAAAGTAAAGGAAAAAGGAAAGGAAAAAGGAAAGGAAAAAGGAAAGGAAAGGAAAGGAAAGGAAAGGAAAGGAAAGGAAAGGAAAGGAAAGGAAAGGAAAAGAGAAAAAAGGAAAGGAAAGGAGAGAAAAGAAAAGAAAAGATGACTTCCAGCCAGGTGCCATGGCTTACACCTGTAATCCCAGCACTTTGGGAGGCTGACCCAGGTGGGTGGATCACTTGAGGTCAGGAGTTAGAGATCATCCTGGCCAATACGGAAACACCCCATCTTTACTAAAACTACAAAAATTAGCCAAGTAAGGTGGCGCACACCTATAATCCCAGCTACTTGGGAGGCTGTGGCAGGTGAATCACTTGAACCTGGGAGGTGGAGGTTGCAGTGAGCTGAGATCATGCCACAGCACACCAGTCTGAGCGACAGAGCAAGACTCCATCTCAAAAGAAAGGGGTAAAAAAAAAAGAAACGTTAACTCCAGAGGCAGAGTCATCCTGAATAGTGACAAGACCTCGGGTGTGGCTGTAGGAGGCTGTGGGCTGAGGGGGCCTTGGAGAGGAGGGGCCCAGTTGGTGGGTTCTGGCCAGGCTGCTGCAGGTCAGCTACCAGCCAAGTCCTCAAGGGTGATGGCACCAAATCCCACCCCCTACACTGGACCCTGAGTCCCACAAGGGCGGGGACTGGCCTGCTGAGTCATGGTGCTACGTCACATCTGAAGATTCTCAAACATCTGCTGAATGAGTGAATGTGTGGGAGGACTTTGGGTGCAGAAGAGAGTGGGCCCCCGGGCCAAAGGCTCCGATGAGGGAGGGAACATGAGTGGGAGCTGTCCGGGTGACAGCGATGGGAAGGGGCAGAAAACAGCTGGCTAGAGAGTGTGACCCTCAGGAAAAGGGCCCCTGGCCGGGCGGCAGAAGCAGTGACCAGCAGAGAGGAGGCCACTGGTCTCCCCCAACCCTCCTGTGAGGACGCCACCATATTTGTCACGGCAGGTCTCCTGGGAGCCCTCTCAGCACCTCACACACCTGGCCCTCTCCCTCTCTAAAATGCTCCTCCCTCTCCTTGGCATGGACGACTCTGTTTCTGCCTTTAGGACTCAGCCCACTTCACCTCCTCAGGGGACCCTCCTCTGACAGCCCCCATGCTCTACTGTTCTGTTACTGTATCCTGTTTGGTTCCTCAATAGCACATTTTATGTGCATCTGCAACATCATTATATAGAAAATATTAGTACATTTTACCTGGACTGTGTGGCTGGCAGAATAGGCCCCGCCCACCATCACCAAAGAAGTCTCTATTATAATCCCCAGAATACGTGAAGATGTGACCTTACTCGGCAAAAGGGACTTTGCAGCTGTGATTAAGGATCTGGATATGGGGGGATTACTCTGGATTATCCAGGAAGGCCCAAAGGAATCACAAGGGTCCTTATGAATGGAAGAAGGAAGTTAGAGAGAGAGATTTGTGGATCCTATGCTGCTGGTTCTGAAGATGGAGGAAGCGGCCACGAACCAAGGAATGCAAGTGGCTTCGAAACGTTAGAAAAGGTAAGGAAACGGGTTCTCACCATAGAGCCTCCACAAGGAACCAGCCCTGCCAAGAACTTGATTTTATCCCATTGAGATCTATTTCAGACTTCTGACCTCCAGAACTATAGGAGAATAAATGTGTATTGTTTTAAGCCACTAAATTTGTGGTAATTTTTTGCAGTAGCAATAGGAAACAAATAGGGCTATAGGGCTTTCATTGGATTTTTTTGGGTTTTGTGCTTTTTTTTTTTTTTTTTTTGAGACGGTCTTGCTCTGTCATCCAGGCTGGAGTGCCGTGGCGCGATCACAGCTCACTGTAGCCTCAACATCCTGGGCTCAAGCAATCCTCTACAGGGGTGTCATCTGAAATGATGCCCATCCAAAACCGTTTAAAAAAACCATCAAGACTTGCAAGTGTCCAAGCCAAGTGAATTGCTAATGCCTGCCATACCGCAGTTAGTTCCACTTAGGAGAAGGGAAAAAACTGCCACCTATTAAGGTTAGTCTTGAATTGAAAAAGGCACAAATTAGATAATATCTTTGGGACCTATTCTTTGACTAAAATAGGATGTCCAGTGTCGATTTATCTGTTTACTTGTTTATTATCAGCTCCTCTGCCTCTCCAGGGCAGGGATGGGGCTGATTCCTCACCTGAGTGCGTGGCACATGGACAGGCTCAATAGGCATCTGTGAAATTGTTAGAGGCATGTGAACCAGAGCAACTCCATCTTGAATAGGAACTGAGTAAAATGAGGCTGAAACCTACTGGGTTACATTCCCAGACGGTTAAGGTATTCAGTCACAGGATGAGACAGGAGGTTGGCACAAGATACAGGTCATAAAGACCTTGCTGATAAAAGGGGTTGCAGTAAAGAAGCCAGCTAAAACCCACCAAAACTAAGATGGCCACGAGAGTGACCTCTGGTCGTCCTCACTGCTACACTCCCACTGGAGCCATGACAGTTTACAAATGCCATGGCAACGTCAGGAAGTTACACTATATGGTCTAAAAGGGGGAGGCATGAATAATCCACCCCTTGTTTATCATGTCATCAAGAAATAACCATGAAAATGGGCAACCAGCAGCCCTCGGGGCTGCTCTGTCTATGGAATAGTCATTCTTTTATTTATTTATTTATTTATTTATATATTTTTTGAGACAGAGTCTTGCTTGGTCACCCAGGCTGGAGTGCAGTGGCGAGATCTCAGCTCACTACAACCTCCGCCTCCTGAGTTCAAGCAATTGGAGTAGCCATTCTTTTATTCCTTTACTTTCTTAATAAACATGCTTTCACTTTATGGACTCGCCCTGAATTTTTCCTTGTGAGAGATCCAAGACCCCTCTCTTGGGGTCTGGATCGAGACCCTTTTCCTGTAAAAGAATGACCATGGGTGAGTGAATTCTGTGGTGGGGAGGTGAGGAAGAAGTGTTCCTCAAGAAGGCCAGATACCTGGGGTTGCCCTGGAGAGGCTCCCAAGGGCCTTGAGGGCTAGGCTGAGCTTGGACAGTGCTGAGGGCCCACTGGCATGGGGGAAGGAACCTGGTCCTGGCCCCAGCCCGGCCCTGCCTCTAGCTGACTACACAGTCTTTAGCAAGCTATTCCTTCTCTCTGGGTCTCAGTCTCCTAATCCATAAACAGGGAGCATATTCCCTGTTCCAAGCATTCTCCTCGGCTCTCCGTGGTTCTTGTGAGGAACAGGAGGTGAGAAGAATTGCAGGAACACCAACCAAGTCCAGCTGCTATTTAAAGCCCAGGGTAGCAAACGTGGATGCTTATGGAGGCCAGGCCAGCAGGCGACTGCAGTGGGCAGTGGGAACGGGGGTGGATGGGAGCAGACGGTGACACCAGGCAGGAATGCCAGCCAAGCGCTGCCAGATCTCCCAGATTTTCAAGGAAAGCAAGAAATCTAAATTTGTGAGTGAATGTGCTCCAAGTGTTGGCATTCAATTCCCAGTTTCTTAAAACTGTGAGCCAAGGCTGGGCACGGTAGCTCATACCTGTGATCCCAGCACTTTAGGAGGCTGAGGCAGGCAGATCGCTTGATGTCAGGAGTTCAAGACCAGCCTGGCCAACACGGTGAAACCCTGTCTCTACTAAAAATACAAAAATTAGCCAGGTGTGCCAGGTGCGGTGGCTCACGCCTGTAATTCCAACACTTTGGGAGGCCAAGGCAGGTGGATCGCGAAGTCAGGAGTTCGAGACCATCCTGGCCAACATGGTGAAACCCGTCTCTACTAAAATACAAAAAGCTAGCCGAGTGTGGTAGTGCATGCCTATAGTCCCAGCTACTCAGGAGGCTGAGGCAGGGAAATCTCTTGAACCCGGGAGGTAGAGGTTGCAGTGAGCCAAGATCACGCCACTGCACTCCAGCCTGGCAACAAAGCGAGGCTCTGTCTCAAAAAAAAAAAAAGAAAAAAAAAGAATCGCTTGAACCTGGGAGGTGGAGGCTGCAGTCAGCCGAGATTGTGCCACCACACTCCAGCCTGGGTGACAGAGGGAGACTCTCTCAAAATAACAGCAACAACAATATCAAACCTGTGGGCCAGACACCACAAGCTGTGGGTGTTTGCTGTCTGACATGTAGTTTCTTGGGGCTTGGGACGGGGGCAAAGAAGTTCTGTCTGAGATACTGGGTCCCTGTGGGACTTTGAGAAAACATCTAGGCAGTGACGGCTATCCCGGCTTGGAGATTCTATGTCCCTGTGATGACCAGGGCAACGTCCAAGACAGTGACACTGATCCTCTTACAATTGAACCCCTCCTGCCCACACAAGGCTGTAGGGCTCACAGAGCACTCTTCCACAGCAGCCTCACTGAATCCTCACAACCCTGAGACGTGGGCATCTTTCTCCCCATCTTTCAGGGAAGGCCACTGAGGCAAGGGGAGGGGTGCGACCTAGCCAAACTCACACAGCCAGTGAGCGGCAGAGCTGGAGCTCAGCTCTCCCCACCCCATTCCTCGTCTTTCAGCTCTGCAGGGGGAAACAGGGAATCAAATCTGCCAGGAGATGCCACAGCCCCAACCCCACCCAGGCCTCAGATGGGTCCCTCCCCTACCCCGGGCAGAGGCAGATAGAAAGCTTCTCACCAGACTCCGCTGACACAGCGCGTGGACAGCGCCCGGGGCATGATCTCCGAGCCCTGCTGCATGAAGCCCCCCACGGGAAACCACAGGCTGTTGCCCAGCGTGTACTGGTTCTCCAGGATGTGGGGGCGTGCGCGCAGGCATGGGTGCGGGTTATACCACTCGTAGGGGCTCAGCCTGTGGAGAGATGTGCAGCGGGTGGATGGAGCCCAGGGCCCAGGTGGGGAGGAAAAGGAGAGAAGCAAAGGAAAAAGATGAAGTCACAGTGATCAGAAGAAAAAGGGGAGAGATGGAAAAAGGAGTGAGATGGACAGAGACATACAGAGAAGAGGCAGAGAGAGATGCACAGAGATGGAGACAGAAGAGGCAGAGACAGACACAGAGATGCACAGAGAGAAATAGAGAAAGGAGGCGGTAAAAAAGGGAGAAGAGGGAAGGGGAGAGACCCAAACACAGAATCACAGAGCAGTCAGAGCCACAAGGGGAAGAATGAGACTCAGACACAGGGTACAAAATTGAGAAAGGAGGGTGCAGGGAATCCAAGGCCCCAAAGGGGAGGCCAAGGACAGTTCCGAGAGAGAAGGGGCAGGTCAGTCCCAGAGGCCCCGGCTCGTGCCTCCTCCAGCCCCTTCCTTCCCAGTAGGCAGTGGACTCACCTGGCAGCTAGAAACAGGACACAGCTGACAGCCAAGTAGGCAAGAAGCATGAAGAGCCACACGGCAGGGGAGAAGGGGTCCAGGAAGGAGAAGTAGCCAGGCTTGCGGCCCTGTGGGGAGAGGGAGTGAGACCCAGAGCCACCCCTGGCCTGAGCCTCACACCCAGCCCCTGCCCCACCAGGGACTTGGGAGCCTGACCGGCCCATCTGAGGTCCTGGGGAAGTCTGGCTCCCACTCGCAGCCTCCGAGCCTCCATGACAGGCAAGCAGCCCATGGTCTCCAGGGGAACCATACCATGTGCACTCGGTAGAGGATGCTGATCCCCAGGGTCATGAAGGGCTTGGAAAAGTCGATGACCTTCTCCCGCTCAGCTGTGATGGTGAAGGCGGCCACAGCCAGGTCTGCCTTCTGCTGAAGGGGAAGCCAGGCGGCGGCGGAGGGGGGCAGAGGGGAAGACAGAAGTGGACAGTTAGAGAGAAATGCAAGGAGAGTGAGCAACTGAGGGAGGTGAGAGAGAGAGAGGTAGGGAGCAGAATGGGCCAGGAGCCTGGACTGACTCCAGGAGTCCACCTTGGGCCTGAAATCGGACTCTCATCACATATCCATCCTCATCATCTCACGTCTCCAGGCACACTGACTCCGTCCCCTAGGCCTCGACTATGCCCCAGCATCAAGGGCTGGGGATGGGGGCTCTCCCCAAACTCCAATTCAAGCAGCAACTTCTTCCTAGGGCCATAAAAGAGCCAAGGTCCTGAAGGGGCTGAGACTGGCAGAACTCGAGATAATACAGGCCCAGACAGAACACAGAGCAGGGAGAGAGGATGCAGGGCCCAGAAATGATACTGGGTAGGGAGGAAGGGTGCAGGTCAGCATGTGTCCACAGCCAGTGGAGACATAACCCAGGCCCCGGCCCAGTGTATAGTCAGGGAGATAGGGCACAAGCCTCAAACAGCATCCTGGTCAGGAGATGACACCAGTACCAAAGCACAACCCTGGATGAAGGAGAGGTGGCCCAGGCCCAAAACTTCACCTGGAGTCAGAAATAGATGGCACAGGACCCAGATACAAACCCAAGGTCGGTGAAAGATGGCACAGGCACAAAAGATAACCACGAGGTAGAGAGAGGTGGCACAGGCTAAAAACAAAACCCACGGTCAAAGAGAGAGCAGACAGGCCCACCGTGAAATCCAGGGTTGGGGAGAAAGGACACAGACCCCAAAGATGACCCCAAGCAGAGAGGGAGATGGCCCAGGCTAAACAGCTAAAGCCAGGTACGGGAGAGATGGCACCAGCCTCAATATAACAGGAGCAGAGTGAGACAGCACAGCCCTGAAGCATCATCCAGAGGCGGCAGTGTGGCAGGGGCCCAGAATGTGGATTTGGAGAATCTCTCTGGGAATTCCTGGGTGTAGAGCATAGGGAACTTCTCTCCCCTTTCTCGTACACTTGCCACTTTTATGACTAATACGTTAGTCGTTGTGGGAATAATCACAGCTAATACAGGACTCTAATTATTTTAAGCACCCACTGGGGGTCTGTCCCAGCAAGGCTCTGCTTGGTGGCCACATCCTCATTTCAGAGAGGAGGAAGCAACGGCCTTTCAGGTGGGCTCCGGTCCTGGGGCCAGACGCTCAAGATCCCACTTCCTCCTGAAAGCCTAAGGGCCCCCCATCCTTTGTTCCCACACTGGCCTTCTCCTCACTCACTCCTGGGGCCATGCCTCAGGCCAGATACCTGCCTCTTGCTGGGCCGGGCAGGGACAGCGGCTCTGCTCCTGAAACACTCCTTGTATCTGTCCATTTCTCTACAACTCTACTGCCTGGACCTGGGCCACTGGTATCTCACTCCTGACTACAGCACTGGCTGCCTCCCGGCGCCCCCTGTCGCCACTCATAACCTCCCAGTCTATTCCTCACATATAAGCCAAGGGGACAGTCTCCTGTTTAAAACCTGTCATGGCTTCCCCCAGCACCTAAGACAAAACCCTCTCATGGCCAAGAGGCCCTGGAGACCTGGGGCTCAGCTGCCCTGCCAGCCTCCCCTCATATCTTCTGTCTTGCCAGCTCTGCTCCAGCCACGACGGCCTGTTCTTTCCTCAACGCAGCAGGCTCATGCCTGCCTCAGGGCCTTTGCACATGCTCTCCCCCAAGCTCTTCTTCCCCATTCCAGGCTCCCATCACACCCACCCCTTCAGCCCTCACCAAAGCAGCCTCCAGACCCCACCTCACTCCTACCCTAGGGTCCTCTCACATTCCCCAGGCCCTTTTTTTTTTTTTTTTAAAGATGGAGTCTTGCTCTGTCACCCAGGCTGGAGTGCAAAGGCACAATCTCAGGTCACTGCAACTTCCGTCTCCTGGGTTCAAGTGATTCTCCTGCCTCAGCCTCCCAAGTAGCTGGGATTACAGGGGCATGCCACCATGCCCAGCTAATTTTTGTATATTTTGTAGAGACGGGGTTTCCCTGAATTCGTCAGGCTTGTCTCGAACTCCTGACCTCAGGTGACCTGCCCACCTCAGCCTCCCAAAGTGTTGGGATGACACGCATGAGCACCACGCCAGGCCCCATCACCCTGTTCTTAGCACAACTGGAGATGGCCTTGCTCAGATGCTTGGTAACAGGCTGTCTTCACTCCATTACAGGTTCCTTGCCTGTCTGGCTCAGTGGGGCAGCCCAGAGTCCACAGACGGCAGGTTCCCAACAGACCCTGCTTGGGTTTGACCAAGTACAGCCTCTCTGACTGGCATTCCAGGCAGCCGATGGCTCCCCCACCGCATTCCTGGGCCACTCGCCACCCCTCTCTCTCGTGCCAGCTTCTTTCTGGCTCTGTCTGAGGTGCCTGTCCACCCTGTAGAGCTGGATCCTATCCATCCCTCCAGGGCCCCTCATGCCTTCGCTCCTCTGGGATGCCATTCATGGACCCCCACTCCCTGGACACCACTTGATCTCAACACATCGCTCAATTTGGAAAATATCTGTTTCTCCTCTGCCTATGCTACTAAACCACAAACATTTCAGAAGCAAGGCCAGTTGGACATGTCATGTGTTTCTGGCACTGCTCAGGGGCCAGCTTAGAGCAGGATCTGCTGTGTCTCATGTCCCATCCTCCTCTGCTGAAACCCAGGAATGTTGCTGCTTCCTCTGGGGCCCTCCCAGATGCAGAGACCTCTTCTTCCCTGGTACCACAATAAAACCTCACACAGTCAGACACTCGCATGCACACAGCACTTACCCCGTGCAGCCACTGTCCCAGGGTTTTCCCCAGAGTAGCCTGTTTGGTCCCCAGAGCAACCCAATGCAGAGGGACCTCCATTTCTACCATTCTATACATGAAGAAACTGAGGCACAGAGACTAAGCCTCTTGCCACAGTCAACCCCTGGATTTGGAACCACTCCCCGCCTAGGGGCTTTATCTGCCTGCAGCCCTGGTCCCTCCATGGCTGGGGGTGCCTGAGGTCAGGCCCAGGTGGGTGACTCCTCCCTGGATCCCAGGGAGTTCAAGAAATGAGGGCTTACTGATGGGAGGAGTCAGCGAGTCCTTGAACCTCTGGCCAATATGGTGGCAGCAGCAGCCTCCACCTCTCCCTGACACTGCTCCACATCCAATCTTCCATCCAGCACCATCCCAGGCAGAAGCATGGGGGTTGTCCTGTACACAACCTCTCCCTCACCCCTCACTGCATCCATCCTCAAGCCCCCCGATTTTGACCCCTAAACACCTCTGGAACAGAGTCACTGCCTTCTGCCTCCGCCACTCACACCCGCCCATGCCACCATCTCTGACTGAATAGCTGGTCTCTGCCTCCCAGGACATACAGCCTGCAGCCCCAGAGATCCCAACATATGACAGTCTGGTCACAGTATTCCCCTGCTTAGATTCTGCAATGGGCCGGGCACAGTGGCTCATGCCTGTTAACCAAGCACTTTGGGAGGCCGAGTCAGGAGGAATGCTTGAGCCAAGAGTCCAAAACCAGCCTAGGTAATGTAGTAAGACTCCATCTCTACTAAAACTAAAAATAAATAAATAAATTCTGCAATGACTCTGCTTGTTCATATTTTTATTTTTAGAGACAGTGTCTCGCTTTGTTAATCAGGCTGGAATGCAGTGGTGCAATCATAAGTCACTGCAGCCTTGAACTCCTCAAGTGATCCTCCCACGTCAGCCTCCTAAGTAGCTGGAACTACAGGTGCGAGCCACTACGCCTGACTAATTTTATTTCTTAGAAAGACCAGGATATGGCTATGTTCCCCAGGCTGGTCTCGAACTGCTGGGCTCAAGTGATCCCCCTGCCTCGGCCAAAGTGCTTGGATTACAGGTATGAGACATGGCGCCTTGTTCTTTTTATTATTACTATTATTATTATTTTTTTTGAGACCAAGTCTTGCTCTGTAGCCCAATCTCTGCCTCCTGGGTTTCAGGGATTCCCCTGCCTCAGCCTTCCGAGTAGCTGGGACTACAGGCGTGTGCCACCATGCCTAGCTAATTTTTTTAGTAGAGATGGGGTTTCACCACGATGGCCAGGTTGGTCTCAAACTCCTGACCTCAAGTAATCCGCCTCCCTCAGCCTCCCAAATGCTGGGATTACAGGCATGAGCCACTGCGCCCGGCCCCATTTTTTGTTGTTGTTATTATTATTATTATTATTATTATTTTTTGAGACGGAGTCTTATCACCCAGGCTGGAGAGCAGGGGTACAATCTTGGTTCAGTGCAACCTACCAGGCTCAAGCAATTATCCTGCCTCAGCCTCCTGAGTAGCTGGGATTACAGGTGAATGCCACCATGCCCAGCTAATTTTTGTATTTTAGTAGAGACAGGGTTTTGCCATGTTGCCCAGGCTGGTCTTGAACTCCGGACCTCAGGTGATCCACCTGCCTCAGCCTCCCAAAGTGCTGGGATTACAGGCATGAGCCACCGCACCCCATCTTGTTCTTAAACTATCATCCAAACGCCCCACCCAACCCGACGAGGCCCTGACCACACCTATCACCCCAATAAGACTGTGCCCCACACCTGTTCCCCTTATGACACCCTGCCTTACACCTGGCCCCAAAACGTCCTGCACCATCCAACCCCCACAGCCTCACCCCCTACCATCTCACCCTGTGTCCCACATTGCAGCCACATTGCCCTTTCCATTTGTTCATTCTTTCATTTATTTACCTGCTTGACAAATATTTGCAGAGCACCCTCCACTAGCCCAGCACAATTCTAGCTTTGGGGATACAGCGGTGAATAGAAACATACAATGTCAGGTAGTGACAAGTGCTGTGATGAAAAATCAAGCAGGCAGCTAGAGAGAGACTGGGGGAAGATGACGTTTTAGATCTGCTCCCCACTGTTGCAAGGGGGGTCTTATTTGAATAGCAACATGAAGGAAGTACAGAAAAGGCAGGAGAAGACCTGGGGGA